ATTTTTTTCTCCCTACTGCATATCACTCTCTGAAATCCTCTTTCTTTTTCCTGTATTTGTTTCTGAAGGTGCAATATAGCAGCTTCTAGTCAGTGGTATCTAATCTGTGTTCTTTCCTTGACAGGAATGCCTAAGGATTGGAGAAAAATCCTATAAAAAGAACTAGCTAGGTATTGTGGTAGATACCTATAATCCTAACGCTCAGGAGATTAAGGCAAGAGAATGTGAGTTAGAGAACAGCCTGAGTTACATAGCAAGACTCTGTCTCAAACTAAGAGGCAAACAATTCCTTTAAAAATGATAATGATTTCAATTGAAGCGATGGATCAGTTGTTAAGAACACTGGCAACTTTTCCAGAGGACCCAGGTTCAACTCCTCGCAACCATCGATAACTCCAGGTGATCTGACACTTCTGTGGGCATTTTGTGCACACAGTGCTCAGACAAAAATGCAAATAAAATACCCATCCACAGAAAAATGTTTGCCAGGTGTGGTGGCAATGACTTTAATTCCAGAACTTGGGAGGCAGAGGCAGGAGGATTCTGTGAGGTCCAAGCCAACCTGGTCTACAAAGTAAGCTCTGGACAGCTAGAACTACATAGAGAGATCCTGCCTCAACCTCTACCTCTTAACCCAAATAAAAGTGATTAAACCAGGCATAGTGGAAAATGCTGTAATCCCACTATTTAAACAGATGAAGGAGAATCTCTGGATCTTCAAAGCCAGCCTGGTATATATAATGACTTCCAGGACAGCTAGGGCTAAGGAGACCTTGTCTCAAAATGAAGAAATGGGAGGCTAGGGCAATGGCTCAGTCAATAAAGTGCTCGCTGCTGCAAGCACAGCAACCTGCATTTAATCTCTAGAACCCATTAAAAGCAAGGCATCTTTTATACTCTGTTCTTTATAAACTTATAATCCCAACAGAGTGGCAGAGACAGGAGGGCTTGCTGGCCAGTAAGTCTACCCAAACTGTGAGCACTGGGTCAATGAGAGGTCCTGTCTCAAAAAAAAAAAAAAAAATAAGGTGTATGACCTTCAGGATGGCTCGGCAGGCGTAGGGACTTAAAACAAATCTGATGCCCCGAGTTCACTCCCCAAGTCCCACATGGTAGAAGGAGAGAATTGATTTGCACAAGTAGTTCTCTAACCTCCACGTTTGTGTCATGGTGCACACACACACTCACCAAAATGTAATTTTAAGGTGTTTTAAAAGTGAAGTGGGAGCTGGAGGTGTAACTCTGTGGATGAGCACTTGCCTAGCAAGTACAAGGCCCAGGATTCAATGCCTCAAAAATAAAGTGGAAAATAATTGAGAAAGGCATATTGCATTGACCTCTAGTCTTCACATATACACACATGGGTAGGCACGCACACACACACACACACACATACACAGAGAGAGAGAGAGAGAGAGAGAGAGAGAGAGAAAGAGAGAGGAAAAATGTTTCCATGTTAAGCACAGATGTAATGCTTGCTTCCTGTCCCCCACTGGTGGAATGAGTATGACCATTGAATGACAGAAGGAAAAACATAAGAGGATCCTTGGTTGATAAAGGAATGAAGGAGGGGTGACAGTCTCAAACCCAAACTGGAGTCCCAGAGCTAAGAATTTCACTCTCTACTTTTTATTCATTCATTCATTTACTTATTCATTTATTTTTGTACATTGTTATTTTGCCTGCATGTTTGTATATGTAAGGATGTCAGATCTTGGAGTTACAGACTGTTGTGAACTACTATGTGGGTGCTGGGAATTGAACCCAGGTCCTCTGGAAGACCAGTCAGTGGTCTTAACCATTGAGCCACTTCTCCAGCCCAAATCTCTCTCTGTTCTCCCCCCACAGGCCTGCTGCTCTTGGTCAGCCTGGAGGTGTTCCGGCATTCCGTTAGAGCCCTGCTTCAAGGAGCCAGCCCTGACACTACCCCAGCTCCTCGCCTGACCTATGAGTACTCCTGGTCCCTGGGATGCGGTGTGGGTGCTGGCCTGATTCTGCTGCTTGGGGGAGTATGTTTCCTGCTGCTCTCTCTGCCTTCCTGGCATTGGCGGTCACTGTGCCCCAAGCGGGGTGACCCAACCACCTAGAGCCCTAGAGCCCTGATCTGCTTTCTGCAGGCATCTGCCAAGCCTGCCTCAATTTCCAGCTTTCTCCTCAAGACTTTCCATCTCTCTTCCAGAGAGACTGCTCTTCCCACTCTGGGGGTCCATTTCACAAAACATCTTGGCCCCACTTCTTCTCTCTGTAAATAACACTTTTGGGGGTGCAGGAGAGATGGCACAGTAGGTAAAGTGCTTGCTGAGCAAGTCATGAGGACTTGGGTTTGAGCCTCCAGAACACACTTTAAAAGCCAAATCAATGGTACATGCCTGTAATCCCTGGGGTTGGGAAGGTAGAGACTGGGGGAACCCTGGGGCTTAGTGGCCAGCTAGCCTGGCCAATTAATTAGGTCCAGGTTCAGTGAAATACCCTGTCTCAATAAATAAGTTAGAAGCCATGGAAGAAGATGCCTGATACTGAACTCTGACCCCTTTCCCATGTACAAGCTCACACACACACACACACACACACACACACACACACACACATACCTTTTCTTGGTAGCTGAATTTGGGTTGCTTGGGGCAGGATGAGAAGAGGCTATGTGTAAATGCAGGCTTCCTGGGGAACCTTCCAGGGACCTGTTGGGGAGATGGCTATAAGCTGATGGGAGGGCAGGGGTCCCAGAAGGATTTAGGGGCCTTCCTTGTCGGAGTCTGTGTTGATTCACTTGAGAGAGAGACATCCTCTGCTGGCCTAGTGGGGCAGAGAAGAGCCCAGGCCTGACTTTACTGTGATCTGATTTGGGATTAAAGGTTTGAAGATGTGACAATTTTGGTTTGGAGCCTGTCTGTATGGAGCTCATGCATTCTAGGGTGAGGCAAGGAACCCCTGTCCTCTTCATTCATTGGCCACAGGCAACTCTCTGTCCTGGAGTCACTAGTTCGCATGCCTACACATGCAGACGAGAACTTGGAGAAGGAAACAGTTCAGAATGCAGACGTGGCTATAGCTTGAATGTTGTCCTTCCCAAAAATACACGTGCTAGGGACTCTCAGTACAACTTTGTTTGGTTATAGTTTCATGTGTATACGTGTGCGTGCGTGTGTGCGCAAGTGCATGCATATGTGTATATTCATTGTGCAAAATGTTGGTTTTCATATGACTTTTTTTTTAGATTTGTTAATTTTTGTTTTATGTGTGAGTATTTCGCCTGTGTGTCTGTGCACCTTGTGTGTGCTTGGTGCCATCAGAGGTCAGAAGAGGGAATCAGAACTCCTGGAAGTGGAGGTACAGATGGTCATGAACCACCATGGGAGTGGTAGTCAAACCTATGTCCTCTGCAAGAGCAACAAGTTCTTTTAACAGCTGAGACATCTCTTCAACCCCTCCTATGACATTCTGTACAAATATATTTGACCACATCATCATCTGCCCCACCCCCACTCTCCTACCTATTCCCAAGTAGGCCCCCTTCTATTTTATTTTATTCTATTCTATTCTATTTTATTTTATTTTAAATTTGAGGCATAGTCTCACTATATAGGCCAGGCTGGCCTCAAATTCTCAATATTCCTGCCTCTGTCTCCTGAGTCATGCACTACTGTGTTCACCTTTAACTATGTGCTTTGAACTCCTGGCTTGTCTAAAACTCACTGTGTAGCCAAGGCTGACTGCAAACTTGCAGTGATTCTCCTGCCTCAGTGCCAGGGTCATAGGTGTAGGTCTGGAGATCAGGTCTTTACAGACATAATCACAACAAAACAAGGCCACCAGGGTTGGCTCTAATTCAACCCAACTTGTGAAAAGGAGAGATGGGGACACAGAGATGGAAATTCACAGAGGGAAGGCAGCATGGAGGGACACAGGAAGAAGACAGCCATCTGTACACTGAGGAGGAAGCCCCTTGGTGGATCCCTGCTTCAAGCCTCAGAAGGAAAGAAGCAGGCTGCTCAACCTATATTTTATACTTAAAACACCCAGAACCATAAGGCGACAGGTTTGTTGTCCAAGCACCTGGCAATGATTTGTGACAACATCCCCAGCAGGTGAATCCAGACTTTGGCACCCAAGAATGTGGGTACTTCTAGGATAGAAACTGAGAAACTTGGGGAGGAGGGGCCAACAAGACTGCTCTTGTTGGAAGATTAAGGCACTTGCTGCCAAGGCTGAAGACCTGAGTTCGATCCTCAGGACCCACGTGGTGGAAGTAGAGGACCAGTTTCAGAAAGTTGTCTTCTCATTTCCACACGTGCATCATGACATGCGCACATGGACACACAGATATACCCTCTGACCTCCACATGTGTACCATGACATGTACACACACACACAAATAAAATGTGCAAGTAGAGATTGAGGAAGTGGCTCAGTAAAGCATTTGTCATGCAAGTATGGGAATCAGAACCCATGTGCACACCTTGCTATGGCAGCCCAGGTCTGTAATCCCAGCGCTGGGAAGGCAGTCAGAAGGCTCCCAGGTCTTGCTCTTTGGGTAGTCTGGCCTCCTCATGAACCTCACATGAGGGGTACTGCCTCAAAAACTATCTGGCTTGCCCACATGCACACACACATGACCCCTCCCACAGGTGCATGCATATACTATATGCAGGTGTCTTTGAGCAATGGTGGGTCGAGTTTGGGCACTATGAGATTCATGAATGGCAACTGCATCCATCTTGTTGGGGACGTAGAGGAGACATAAGAATTTTTTCTTTTCTTTTTTTTAAATAAAAGTATCTGTTATTCTCTAACAATTCAGTCAGATCTAGCTCCAATTGTCTCCTCCTCCTATTCCCACAAGGCACTCCAACACATAAGCATACACTTTCTTATCTCCTCTCTCTCTCTCTCTCTCTCTCTCTCTCTCTCTCTCTCTCTCTCTCT